GTAAGTAGAGCTGCAAACTTGGATCATAAAGCCGTATTAAAGAGAAGGAAAAGGAGGAGGAGGAGACATACAAAGGAGACGGCAGCCGTAGGCCGAAATACAAGATCACTTTTTTTTGTGCTCACTAGTTTTTTGATCTCTCTCTCTCTCCTTTTCTCGTCGTTGATTTTGGTAGGTTATGCAGTTGAGATGAAAGTGACACACAGTGTAGGAATCGCAAAGTGAATTCAGAGGAAGCGTTTAAACCTAAACTCATCCAGTGCTGATAAAAATTTAGATAAAAATCTTTGCTTCTACACTTAACTTAGCTGAAAATGAAGGCAACCTTAACAAATAGATAAACTACATGCATGAATTTGAATTTTGACATATCAATATTCTTTTGATCAAGGAAACCTCTGAGTATCGAAGTCAACACTTGTTTTTGTTCATTTGTGGCTGGATGTTCATTATCGCCTGTGTTGTTGTGTCAATATTAAAATTCATCTTCATCTTAGTGGGGATGATTTGAGGATCAATTGACCAATGCACGGAATTAACTTACGACCAAATTTGACGTTTGAGCGGTGCCGTGTTGACTAAAAATGAACACATGCTGTAATGCTCGCAAACTTTAGAAAAGGGACTATCAACTTTATGAACAATTTGTAAGGCCCTTTTCACGCGAATCAAACAACGCCCACGCAAACCAAGAGCACTATCAGGAAGGAGACAATTGACCCTACTATTTTTTTCAAGCCAGTCACTAAAAATTTATTATTATATTTATTTTAAGATTGATCATTCTTTGTTTTGTGACGTTTAATCGTCTTTCTCTATCTACAGGGTGTCTACTCATCTTTCTAAATAAAACTACCTATGTTTTCCAGAACTTTAACGGTTCAGGCTTATAATAAGAAAGCTATTTTTAAATGCGTTAAAAATATGTTTTTTTTGTATATCAGAACAATAGCAATTTACCCAAATGTTTTTAAGATATGGCAATCAGTTTTAAAGAAACAGCTTTTCAATCAAATCCATTGAATTTAGAAGTTTAACACTTACTTAATTTCTCACTTTATAAAGTTAAAAAACTTACTTAATTTGATTAAGTCCAAAATCTAAAATTATTTAAAATCTTGAAGTTTCGCATTCCTCGTAACTTGTACATCAAAATATTGAAAATTATCAAAGTGCCAGAATAAAAGAAAAATAAATGATTTATTACAAGTTCGTTATTAATTTTATGAAAGATTAGAGATCTTCAATGTAGTCCCATTAACTTCACAACAATGGTAGAAACTTTGGAGATGTTCTGAATGAAAAGAAATGCTGAGATTTTCAGTGAAGCTCCATAAACAAACTGCGGGAACATAAGGGAAGTTAATACGCTGAAGATATGGGAACTTACTGGAAGCTTTAAGAACTTCAAAGCGGTTCTTTTAGCTTCCGAAATTTTTCAGGATCTTTTATGAAGTTCCTAGAATTTCAGAGAACTTCACAGGTATCAAGCGAACTTGAGAAATAAAGAAAACATGAGGGGTATTGTGCAAATTTTTAAGAAGTTCTAAGTACCTCAAAAAAGCTAGATTTAGAGATCTTTGGGGAATTTCAGATCTTAAAAGGGCAGTTTCCGTAGCTTTAGTCCAGACTTTTGGAGCAGTTTGAAGATCTATAATCGTAAATTTAGAAAAATTCAGGATAGTTCCATGATGTGCTGAAAAAAAATCGAGAACCCTTAAGATGTTCCGATTCAGGGAAGGCCTTCAAAGAAACTATGAAAACTTCAGAAATATTTCAGGAACTTCACAGAAGCCCAGAGAATTTTAGGGAAATTTAAAGGTGTTTACGGGAATTCCATATATTTCCGAGCAGAACTGAGATCCTCAATAGAATTTAGAGCTTTCGGGAAGCTGCGGGAAGCTTCGGAAACATCAAGACAGATTAGAGAATCAAAAGGCAGTTCAAATAATTTCAAGGAATTGTAGAAACCTTAAAGAAGTTTCGAGAATCCCCGGAAACTTCAGCAAAGCTCCGAGAGAATTTCTGGAACGTGATAAAAATTATATAAACATCCGGGAAATGTGAGAGTATTTTAAGGGTGTTATATCATGGAGATTTCAAGAACTTAAAAAAATGCGAAAATTTAGCTTAGTTGATTAGGGAACATCAACGAAATTCCATTAATTAAAAAAAAATGCGAGAACTTTTAGCAAGCTTCAAAGAAATCCAATACATTTAGATATTTTTAGATGGTTTCATGATATTCAACAAGTTCCGAGTTCTTCGAGGACGATCAGATAGCTTCAGAATAATCCCATTAACATAAGAAAATTTGAAGGATTATCATACAAATTTAGAGAAAATCAAAGCAGTCTAGAGAACTTTGAGAAAATTAAAATATCGTTTAGGCAGTTTCAATACCACCAGGAATGTCTAGACTATTGAAAAAGTTTTAAATTAGTGCCAATAATTTACGGGAAATTTCATGAAATTCAGAAAAATCTTTAGAATTTCAGAGAAAATCATAGAACTATATTAATTATGTAGCTCCGCGAACTTCAGGAATTTGTATGAACATTAGCAGAATGCGGGAGCATTTTAAAGAAGTTTAGAAAAGTTGGAAAATTGGAAAAAAAAATCAGGGGGAGGTCAGTTTCATTAGTTTCAGAAAATTAGTGAAAAATTAAGGCAGTTCTCAGATTTTCAGATAACTTCAGATGCATTAAAAATTTAATTAAGGTCTTCCCATGAGTTTAGAAGTTCAGTGAAGCTTAAACATTTTTAGGATGGTTCAATTAAATTCAGCGCAGTACAACAAGCTTCACGAAATCTGCAAAAACCTTAGAGAAGTTTTGAGAATTTCAGAAAAAGACAGAGAACCTCAGAGTAGTTCCGTTAACATTAGAGAAGTCACATAAATTTTAAAGAAGTTTAGAGAACTTCAGCGAATTGTTAAACCTTTAGAAGAGATCTATGGTCGTTAAAAAATTGAGGAAACTTTAGGAAGTCCTATCAAGTTCAGGGAAGTTTAAAAATTTAATGAGAAGTATTGTGATCAGCAGGCTAGTTTCTCAAACGAAAAAGAACTACAAAACAGTTTCATTAACTTCAGGTCAAATTTGGGAACTTTCAAGTAGTTCTGAAGACCTAAGAATGGTCCATTCTGATTTCCATTGAAATAGGGTACACGCATTTAGTCTTTCTTAATCTAGCGGAGTTTAGCACCAAACGGAATGTTATTATTGCTGATGGCTTCCAAATTTATTTACCTTTCCGTATGAATCGTAAGATTTAATAAAGAGGAACTAATCGTTGAGATATTGTCAAAATTCCAACTTCTTGACGCCAAACTCGGCCTACGGATTTTAAACTCGGCCTAACGCATTTAAACGCAATTGAAACGCACTTCGGCCTATCGGATGAAGATAAAAATTGATTCTGTTCTGAATAATGGGTGCAAACCTTCATACCACGCGTTCTCATTGACTTCGTTCCGTAGCTTATCAACTAAAGTATCGTAACAAACGCATAATTTACTGGTTAACTCTGAAATCATGGATTTATTTGAAGTTTTATGCTCGATAGGCCCAAAATAGGCGATTAGGCCGAAGTAGTTCTCTACCTTATGGCTTATAATAGAAATTCAGTTGTAGTTTGTATAAGGCATGGAATAATCTGGGAAATACAGCAAACTACTTAGAAGTTGAAAGAATTTCCCAGGAGTTCATCGAACTTCCCACAAGTTCAGGAAACATCATATGGGCTCAGTGAAGTTCGGATGCGGTCAATGGATTGGAAAGACGTTCAGAAGTTTCCATCGATTTCACGGAACTGACTTTAGGCTTACGAAACTTTGTGAAAGTACATAAAACTTCAGAGAAGATCAGGAAGCTTTATAGAATTTTAGATAGATTTGATGAAAAGCACGGATTTTTTATAAAATATAAATAATGTTCTCTGGATGTTTTTCAAGACCAATTACTGCTCTGAAGATCTAAAACTGTTCAAAATTCAAATGTCGCCTATCAGATATTCTTCCAAGACGGCAAGTTGATCATAAAATATTAAAAGAGATCTCCAGCTAATAAGAGATTAAAAAAAGTCTTCTGGGTATTTTTTTCAAGACGTTAATCTTAAATTTTAAGAATCTTAAGAAATTTGTTTTACGATGCTTGGTTCATTTGTTACGACTTTTCAAACTACACGATGTCCGGGAAAATCCAAAAACTTCAACTTAAGTTTTCCGGGAAAATTGTCGAAATTTCATAGCATTCTGCGAACCTTCGGCCAATTTTGTCCCTTAATAAAATGAAAAAAATCCTGGATCTGGGAGAGTTGGGCTAAATGCCCCCATATCAATCTGCAAAGGATCCAGCACAAGATCGTGAGAATGATCCTCAACAGTCCTCCGTGGAATTATCCGGAAATTCTGAGGCCCACTAGCTTTAGAATTCTATGTTCGCAAGTTCATATTGCGATCTCGACTGAAGGTTGCTAGCTTCTGCAAAATTGGTCAATAATTCGCTAAGTAGACGTACAACTGGGATAAAAGATAGGTAGTTCAGTCCAGATTTCTCTCATAAGTGGTGCCAGTATATCATTTGTTCTCTTATATTTTGCTCTAACTCGATATCTCGACTAGATATCTGCCTCTGAATTATGTGCATTAAATAAACAATCTTTGTTGATGTACATTGGCCGTATTTATGTTCCTACCAACATAATGTTCCTCCTCAATTTTCGGCACAGTGCTCGTGCCGTGCCTCTCTCAAACCATCAGCAAACCACCAGCAGCACCACTAAAACATCAACCATCAACAGTCACCTCAACACCATCAGCAGTACCGCCCGCCAGAGAGATAGAGAGAGAGCGAAACCCATGCAACGGGCAAAGGAATGTCTGCTGGCCTGGCAGTTAGTAGTTAGCTTCAGGAAACCAGTTTTCAGTTTAGCTCGGATCGTTGCTCGGAATGGAGTTGTAATGAGAACGAAGTTCAGCCATTTCGTTGTTTGTGAAGGTTCGTCGTCGTCGGAATATCGATTCGTGTGAAAAAGGCCTACAGCTTATGATCTATGCGGTGCTCTAAAGGGAGCTATGGGTCCCGGTAGAAGCTATGTGTGATCGATGCTGTTCTAGATTCGTACGGGTGCGATTCATCCAACGCCAATATGCCCAGTGAGAGTGGGGTTGCTTTAAATAATTTCGTCTATGTAGGGAAAGATCACTGTCGCCGTTGCCGTCGGTCGGATAGTAGTTCCTAGTCGTCGTGATCGTGTTCTTTTTTAGCATTTTCATTGCTTAATTATAGTTGTATGACGGGAGGTGCTGCTGCTCTCCTATAAACCTGACTTCTTTCGCGGGAACTTCCTGCACGGCCCATCGGCTGCTCTCTTCTGGTTCCAGATTCGTTAATAGTTTACGGCCTTTCAACTTCAAACGACGACCATGGAATGAATGAGAATATTTTAACGTATTTCCATCGAGTGCTCGCCATTAGTTGGTCAGTTTTGAAACGGTTATAGTTTATGAGTTTGAGAAGATCCCACAGTGTGTCGTGTGTCAGTCCGTTTTCCTAGAGAAGATATTCAATTAAGCCTATTAGTGAAGTGAGGAATGAAGAGCAAACGGAGTGCGAAAAGTATGCGTGTTTGGAATGGTTATTAAATCACTTAATTAAGATAGAAGAGTCTCGTGCTTAGCTAGAGATTGTGCGATCATTCCAAGAAGCCCCTGAAGATCTCGATCCAACTATATACAGTGTGTTGTGACCGTTGGTGTAAAATAAACCAGTTTGGTCATCAAGAGAGGCAGCATCCAGCCACCCGGCTGCGCACCCTGAGAGAGCGGAATGTCGCAGAACAAACGAGAAGAAATTTATCATTAAAAGTTCAGAAAAGGAAATTGAATACGTCCCTAAAAATAAGACAGGAATTTTGTCATTTTTCTGGCCTGGCCACGAAGCACTACTGTTACAATGTAGTGTCCGGATGGTGTCCAGCAGCAGCAGCAGCACATACAGTGATTGGAAGTCCCACGAGACGGTCCCTTCGAAAATCCGGAGAACGAGGATAAAACGTAAGTGAAAGATGTTGAAGAAAAGAAAAATTTCCAATCTATACAAAACGAATGACGACAACGGTCGATCTTCATCACGGAAAAAGGTCTTCTTTACCGAAACTATGCTTTAATGTGTGTATGATGTATGATGCTGCAGGTACCGGACCGACGAGAGTAAACACAGGACACAGAGAAATTGATGTAAAATCGGCCATCGGCCACAATGACGGGCATTTTGCTCGATCCAAACTATCGGCTTGACCCTAAATGTAGGTAGGTACGTGTGCTTTGGACAGCGGACGAAGTGAAGATAAATGCAAATTGCATTTTGTTGCCTTACACAACATTTTGGAAGCCAGCTTGAAGGAGCCGGTTTTTACTTGGATAAAACTGAGTTTGCGGAAGTATGTTTGAGTTTTTCCAGTAATTCTAACGTTATAAATTCCAGAACTTTGCGACGATTGTTATCAAATTTGTCACTATGTTGTTTTCGCTTCATCTCTCGTGCATTAACTCGTACCTATCCATCCGGGCTTATCAGTTCACCCATTTTTAGCCTTTATAAATGAACAGCCTGGGTACATTCATTTCAGAAGACACGATCCTTTTTGACAGTTTTTATGAACAATATTGGGATGTTTTTTTATGTATAAAGATCTATCTTTTGAGATTGTTTTCAACTCATTAACGCCCAGTGATATATTTATAGATAAGTTACATTTTTGGATACTGTCGAAAAACTTGAGCTCTCTGGAATATTCCGTTGTAACTGATTAATAATTTAATTCGGAATTCATTTATTAGGTGGAGCTAGTGGGTATGGAAAACATCGTTTAATTAATTTTTATAGCATATAGCTTTCGGTTGTATAGAAAGTTGCGGTCTTCGGAAATGTTGTTATGGTTACAAAGGCCATAATTTTAGTGGATTGTCTAGGTCAGAATTCTCTGACTTGATGACTCTAGTGCTCAGGTGAACTTAGTGTACATACGTTATCTCTAGACCAGTGCGCAAAACAGTCAGGTTCAATGAGTAATTTTCATATGAATAAGAACAGTCATCCGCCTCATTATTCACTGCCTCGTGAGAGTTAGAATGATTGGGAAGCAAACGAGTCACTGACAGCAGAGCACCCAGTCAGTAGCTCAGTCAACACGTTTATTGTTCCGTGATGGTACCCAATCCTTGTTTTGAATGACTGGGCGTACATTTTCTATGGAAAAATGCCTCAATTACATGCTGTGTGAGCGAAGGCAAGCGATGTGAGTCGCCCCTTCGTGAGTGACAGAATGTTTTTGTTGGCTCTTTCATTGCCTCGTCCTTGACCATTTGGTACACAGGGGAAATGTATGTAATGTCGGCCCAAGTGTCCCTAATTTGGGCCCATACATAAATTCAGCAATCGACTTAATTTTCAATAGCAACCAAAAATATCCATTAGCACCGTCCAATTATTAAATAGCAGATTTTTAGCGATGGGCCCAATCTTACATCCATAGGCCAGTATTAGAGCCATTTCCCCTACGGTCTGGATAGAGCAATAAATTGAATAGAGCAGTGCCTTCACAGTCAGCCTATGCAGTCAATAATTTTACGCTTTGCTCTAGACCCTGGCTATATACATGGTTGCTGTTTTCTGCAATGTTGTGCAAGAGGCCAATACCTTTTGGACTGTGGATAGTTTAGTTCGAATCTCTCTCACTAGGTGGCTCTAGTGTACCGGTAAACTTCTTGTACATACACGGAGAAAAACACAACCCAAAATTTGAGTTTCTTTTACTTAATATTGAGTTCAGCCTCTCACTTGCACTCCTTATTGTTGTCAAAAAAGGAATGAGAGATTCGACCCAACGATATAGTTCCGCCCAATTAGTGACTTTTGAGTAAATTGCATATTCTCAAATTTATGTGAATTAAACTTAATTTTGGGTAGAATATACTCAAGAGTAGGTATTTTTTTTTGCTAGTGTTAAATGGAAACTACTATATGCAATTTACTCAAATTTGGGTTATTAGGGTGAACCCCGGAATTGAGGGAAGAGTACTTAATTTTTGGCAGTTTTTCACCTCCGTGCACAAGATTGACAACTCTAGATCCTAGCGGCACCGGTGGTGTAGTGGTAAGCGTGGTTGCCTCCCACCCCAAAGGGCCTGGGTTCAATCCCAGTCGGCGCCGCCGGGATTATTTTTGATGCATAAAATCTCTGATCACGGGGAAGTAAAGCCGTTGGTCCCAAGTCCATGAGTTGATGTGTCGTTAAGTAGGGCCCAGGTGTGGGTACTGCCTCCCTGGCGTTGGTAGCATTGGTGCTCAGTACAAAAAACAACATCGTCGGAAAACAAATCAAGAAAAAACTCTAGACCCTTGCTATATACAAAGGTGCTAGATTTTGCAATGCTGTTCACTAGACTAAGACCTTCTGAATGGATAGTTTATTTCGGAAATGTTCTGATAGACTTCGTGTACTTGCAGGATCGACATCTCAAGATCAAAGTTGATTTTTTTTGACTTCGTGAGGCTAAGAGCTTTTGAATGGTGGACAGTTTAGTTCGGAATCCTTTCAATATGTGGCACTAGTGTTCTGGTAAACTTCTTATACATGCAGGATCGATATCTCAAGACCCTGACTGTGTCCAAAGTTGCTGTTTTCAGCCATTTTATTCAGAGTGCTTAGAGCTTTTGAATGGTGATCAGTAGGGTGGGTCAACTTTATATGGCGAATCAATACCCCCAGCACCCCGCAGCTCTTTCGATTCCCAGAACTTTTTGCACAGAAGTCGAATCGATTTTCAATCTTCAATGAAGTTGTTCTGTATAAATTTCTAAATCTAAGTGCCAGGTTTGGTAAAAATTGTGTGATTTTTGGTTTTTTAACAAACAATTGAACAGTTTCGGACCGTTTCCCATACAATCGAAAGAGCTGTGGGGGAGTAGGGGATTGTTAAGTTTACCCACCCTAGTGGGTAATTTGTTTCGGAAATATCTCACTACACACTTAATCTAGCTCGGTAAAATCTCCAACAGCCGATTAACTCGGCATTTACGTTACTGATATCTCTGCAAAATCTTAATTGTTAGCTGAGTCTCGGCAATTGTTTTAATGAATCTCAGCAAAAAAAATGGTAGGACTACTCGGCTGTTCGAATCTCGGCGAAAATTTTCAAGTGTGTAGGTGACTCATCAAGATCATGGCTGTATACAAGGTTGCTGTTTTCAGCAATGCGAAGGCCTTTTGAGTTTCGGATTTGGAACTATCTCACTATAAGTGACACTAGTGCTCTGGAAAACTTCGTGTGCTTGCCAAACTGTTTTCTACAATGTTGTTCAGGGGACTAAGAGCTGTTGAATTATGGAAGTAGTTTGAATTTATCTGACTAGGTGGCTCTAGTGTTTATATGAACTACATGTACATGCATTTTTGACAACTTAAGATCCTGGATATGTACAAGGTTGTTATTCTCTGCAATTTTGCTCAACAGCAGAAGGCTCTAATTAAAAACATAGAATACGATTTGAACCACCGTTATACTGAAAGCCGATATTTGAAAACGCAGCTCAAGTTCCAGTCATTTTCCAATTAGTAAGCATGGACCAACAGATCTCATTCCTCTATTTTGTTTGATAATGCTTTAAAATAAAACCACACACACACACACACACACACAAAATAAATAAACAATTATATTACATATTTGATCATAAAATCATAAATTATGAACATTTTCAATACTGATATTTAGAGTTGGTTGGAAATGCTATCTTACATGCAGCTTTAGTGTGGTGATTTATTAGCCAGAGAATGGTCTGAAGAGGATAGGTAGATAGTTCCGCTAGAGTATGGCAGTATGAAATTGAATAGAAGTTGAAAATAAGCGAAAGGCCATTAATGCGACAGTGCTAGTCAAACGCACACTTCTTTAACGCACACTTCTTTACCTAACTCATACATCAATTGTTGAGCAGACATGAAGTATTTCTTCAAATCTACAGGCAAAAAAGTGCACGTTTGACTTCTATTCAATTTTCATCATGCTTGGCATGCACAGTTGTACACACCAACTTTTCCCTCAATTGTTGAAATTTGTTTTTCTTTAAAGTAATTGATAGATAGGATCATAGTTTACTATAAATATGCAAAGAGTAGGTAAATCTTAACATTTGAATCAACATCAATGAATTTTTACACTTAAAGTCCGAGATGTGCAGCGAGCATTTCTCACTTCATTTTTACAACGCAAAAACAAATACAGTTTATTACTAGAATTAAAATTAACTTTTTCTTACGTACCAATTACAAGCTTAAACCACAGACAAACAGACATAACACATTGAATATTTTTCACTGTAGAACATCGTCGCTAAATCATTACTGCCATCTGTTGAGTATCCTATGGTGGGTAGTACGCAGAACAGATGGCGGTAGAGTGTAAACGTCAAACGCAAGGGAATTGACTATGCGCGCCACAGGTGGTGGTACTACCAACTACGATACTTTTAAATTGACCGTTAAATGCTTGTTCGATGAACAACTTGCGAGTGTTATGTCTGTTTGTCTGTGCTTAAACTTTATTCTATCTACTGCTTCAAACAGAACTATGTTTTGTCAACTGTGTGCAAAGTTATTAGCAAATGAGCAGTTCGTGACCAAAACTGTGTATGCCAAGCATGTCCGTATCTATTATGCATGACGAACCAAAGCAAATAGAATCACCTATTGTTTAGTAACGAGTTCTGCCCGCTCTAATTCGTGATGCATACGAGATACAGATTTGAATTATGATCAAAACTTGTAGCTAATAACAAAACCTACTAAAGCTCTATGCATCATTTTGCGGAATACTGCTGATGAAAAAAGTTAGAGGCAAATGAATGTAAATGAATGCATGAAATGAATGTAAATGATTTTCCATGCCTGGTTGTAACCACCGTGTGGTTTTGAGTGATCCAACCACAGCACATTCGAATCGAACGTTATAAATTTTCGACTAAAAGAGAGATTTAGGGTTCATGTCGACTT